TAGTTCATTATTTTGATGAAGAAAAAGTTCTTGGCGGAGTCCAATAATCTTCTCGTTGACGGTGCCTTTTTTTATTAGATGGTCCAGGTGTTTCTTTTTCTTTCTGTTATCATTTGCTTTCTGAATAGAATAAGCAATTGATGTGTTCCGAACGCTATATTTAACAGAATCCCATCACTTCTAGATATGGGAAAATAAATTCATTTGGTGGACTGAATCATTATATTTATTAGAGAATATAGTTTAATATAACTTATTTGCACCCTGTCCCGACCTTATATTTATAGAAGATTTTAATACAATATCTGGGACAAGGGTGTGGTCAGAAAATGATGTTTATAAAATGATGGATATCGTTAACACTACTTCCGAGGTTTTTAGAAAACTAGATTCTGTCTATCCTGCATGACTGTGTCCCAATTCTACAGGTGTAAAGTTGGCCGGCACAATATTTATTACGGTAGATATCCACCATACTCGAAGCTTGTGGGGTTGAGCCTAGCATTTTCTTTGCCCTAGATAGCTTAAAATGATGTTTGTTTCAAACATCGCGCTCCTCTAGGACAGAGTTAAAGATGTCAGTTATTATTATATACAACAAAAGATCCAGAGCCTGAATAAAGCTGCGCATCTTTTCCATAAGGCCTCTCAGGATGTGGCCTCTGACAGCAGGGTCGTACGAATTGATAGTACAATATTTATTGCTTTCGTAGGAAAAGTCGAGTCTGTTGGAAATAAGACTATTATACAGAATAACTGTACAAGAGACATTATTTTTGATCCGAATCCTTGTTCCAGACCTAAAGTATTTAATGGATATATCTCCATGGAAGATTGTATTAAGATGTGCGGTGTAACCCAGATCGTTGGCCAAAGTGTCAATATATTTGCAGCGGTGAACCTGCTGCAGGGCAATAATATTTGGTTTTTGACCCTGGAGCCAAAGACTCGGCTTGAGCCTATTAGTGCTCAGACCGTTGATACTATTGTGGTAAGTTGAAGTATCCATTGAATGTGAGGCGAAGGCATTTACTATATATGAACATTATACAAATCACTATGTTGATTATCAGGTTATTATTTCCAACTATAGTTAATATGTGTCTTTTCCCAGAATGTTACAAGAATAGAAATGGACGAGTTTGAAGAATTGGAAATTTAATATTATTCTCCAGCAGGCTGAACAGAAAATTCTAGATTTACTCGGGGGGAGAACGGAGGTATCTGACGTTCAAACGAACTCTAATGCCCCCTTTTATCATCCCTAAAAACAGGGTATTTATCTGTCCTATAATACTCTGGACCTGGTTCTTTTGTTTTCCCATGGCTTCAGAATTTTTTCCTAAAAGACGCTCTCATCTGAGCTCTCCGAAAGTCATGTTTAATGGGACATCCTTCAAAAGAGCTCTCCTTATCACTGGTATTATCTACAATTTTTTCAAATTTCTGTTATTTTTCTTATATTTGTACTATATTTCTCATCATCCAACTGTCGCTGGTGTTAGAAGAATTTTTACTTCATGGAGTCTGATAACTGATCTCAGTCGATATAGGGTGAAGCTCAACCCTAACTAAGCAGGAATACTCATTAGGTTTGTTGGATGATATTTTCTTTTTCACTATTTTTTTTTCATAATCTGTTCTTGCGTTGATGGAGTACCAGATAAAATTTTTGAAAAAACTATACCAAGCTGGATTCGCTGGTGTGTTATAAGCCGGTACATCGATGAGCTGGAAGAAGTTGACTTCGCTGCCTTATTTCTCAGCTGGTGGCATGGCTACTTTTTATTTTGAAGGGCGAAATCTTCCCGATTCGGCATTTCCTGTCCAATTTACTCCCTGTGGTTTGTCGTTGGGGTGTTATAAGCCGGTACATCAGGAGAGCTGATGCAAGCTTGTACGTCGCTACATTGTTTCTCAGCTGGCATGGCTTGAAACTCGCTAGTCTTTCTGGAAATGTCCTGACTTTTCATATAGACGACGAAGAACGTACTCTCGAGACATATGCTCTGATCGGAAACAATTAAGACAGGTTTTTATGCATAGCTCCGTGGGGAGAATATGCCACCAACGTTGATGAAGTCTAGGAATTTTGAAACATCAAACTCATCAACGATGGCTTGAACGTAGCCATTATATACTTTCGTATTTTTTTAAAAAGATTTCATAAACCCGCCTAACTTTTCCAAAATTCAAGAAATCTAGCATGGATTTGATCTGGTGTATCGTGGCTTCAGTCCACCATCCATGGACTGGAAAGTTAGATTCCAGGCCCTGTCGAATAGGGAAAATACCTTTAACTAGGGATTTAAAATGTTGTAATTCATTAACAGTGAAGAAAAGCTTGAATAACGCCGCAACAGTCTGTGTGTTTCGAGATGAAAGACATCAATCGACTCGCCGCGAGAGATCTTCACCTCTTTACTACATCTCTGCAGTAGTTGATTTCAGCATGCTTCCCCGTAGTGGCAGAATATTGCCAGCTGAGATGAGTAGGCGTGCTGCTGTGATTACTGAGTAAGACGTCCGTCTTCATATTACTAGAAAATGGCAATCTGAGCTTTTTGTGCGTTTCTTGAATATTTTCACGATTTATCGCGACAAAATGGGGATTGTGTATGGTGTTTAGGAAATTTATCCGATTTTTACTATCAACCATTAGTTACGATTCTATTGTGCATCACACAATACTTAATTATTATCAAATGAACCGATAATATTCCATTTCGCAAACAGCGTAGACTCCCTAAGTTCTGGTTCAAAATCTCAGTTTGCAACCAATACTAGATGTTACCCGCGCTACGCATCACTTAGTTCACATGTAATCAGTCTGATGTTGTTGTTTTTTAATGAAGATTCTTTTTAAATCTTCCTACGTATAAGTATATTCGAAAAGATATGCTCGGAACGAGGGTGCGAAGCGCAAATATAAACTACCCATTAAACTGAAGTAAGCATTGAAGATAAAGTAACGTTCCCGCCAGTAATAACTTGTAAGATTCATGCTTCATCAGAAAATATACTTATATCCTACGTTTCGTGAGTTGTTCCACTCATGAACAAGGGAATGTGCAGTTAGTTGCACGTGGGTATTTATTAAATTTACGAAGATTGTATGTAATCTTCTCGACTCCGTATATTCCACCCAATATATATATCCCAAAGTTCGGAAGTTAAAAGCAATTGAAATACGAACGTGTTAAATGAAGTCGTGGCCTGGCAAATTATATTCGAGTTGTAGCAAACAGGGAATAATACTCATGCATTTTTATTCGAAAATATAATTATTTATATTCCAAAATACGTTTCATAATTACTAATGAGCTATGCAAGCAGTCAGTTGCACGTTGGTATATACTAAATTTGCAAAGAAATCTTCCAGACTCTGTATACCACACCCAATATATCAGTATTTCTTGGTTAAATACGATCATGTCGAATGGAAGCTTGTTCAGCGATATCCACGTAATGTCAATGCCGAGTTATAGCAAGCAATCAATGCCATATCAAGCACACAAAACGCGAAGAGGTCACGCTATTTAAATAAAAATATGAACCTATTTGACCTAACTCATTGATTTTATTCTCTTGACGGCCGGTAGTCATATTTGACTCAATAAAATAGCTCTGAAATTAAGCTCTAAATAACCCTGCTCTAAATTGGAATTAATTCAGCGCCTGGTTATTCCAGTGCAGTAATTCAGCAAAAATTAGTAATTTGATTGTATGATTCTGTAATAGAACTCCTGTCCTCCAAAATTTTTGTAATATTATATAATGTCTCGTGCACAACAATATATATAACAAATAACTTCCATAAAATTCATTTACAATTCCATTTTTGTTATGAAGTCTGTTCTCAATATATCTTAACCAGGTTTCTTGTTTTTCAATCGTAAGTTATTTTTACTTCATTCAATACATCTGTGAGGGCAAAAACAATATGTGGTATCAATAAATACCATTTGCAATTTTATAACTTTATGGGCACCCTATATTATACATCAAAGTTCAGGTAGAACTTCAGGTTGACAAGAGCAATATTACGGTTAATAAATTGAAACGTTACCGTTTCTGTCTGCTGAGTCAACGCAAATTAAGCTGGATAGGACACAGAAACACATCAACAGGTTCACGCTAACGAGGTGAACGAGAATGAACCTATTTAATCTAACGCATTAATCTGACTCTCTCTATGGCAAGGTGTCATTTTTGACTCTTTATTAAAATCGCTCTAAAATTAGACTAAAATAGTTCTGCTCGCAATTGGAATTAATTTAGCGTCTGTTTATTCCAATACGACAGTGTGTCAGAACATGGTTGGATAAAAACATTATGTAATCTTATATAATAATTCCTGTCCGACCATTGGCGCAAATTTCCAGTTAATTTATATACTGCCTAGTATCTCTGCATATATCAATATAGCACTCCTTTTTAGGCAATACAAAATGACAAACACGTGATTATTTACTTGGATAGGGCACAGAAAACACGTCATTGAGTTCATGCTAATTAGGCGAACGCGAATGAACCTTTTTTATTCAACGTAATGAACTAATTTGACTCTTTCGATGGCGAGGTGTCATCTTTAACTCAATAATTAATATTAAAAATTCTCCAAAATCAGACTAAAATAACTCTGCTCGCAAATGAAATTAATTTAGCGCCCGATTATTCCAAGTGTGGTTGTTAGATTTACCCGCCTTATGTTGAATATTTACATTTCTTTACTCTTCTTTGGATATTTACGTTCCATCCACGTATTTTCAATGTGTTTTTTAAATAAAACATACTTTCGCCTCACTATTTGTTGTTCGTAGCTTATTAGGTATTCTATTTTTGAGGTGGGGCGTGACGCTTGACAAATTCTATAAAGGGGCGCGGCTTGAAAAGTTTTAAAACTACTGGACTAAAGTATAGGTGATGTTCATAATCCGGATAATTTAGAACAAACCGATTCTCCACTTTTGTTGGGAACTTAATATGATACAATTTCGTGACCAGTACATATTTATTATAGAAAACCAATTTTGAATGAGAACAAAACGAAAAGATTAAAGTTATTAAACTAGAAAATGCATTTTTGGAAGCATCGAATTGCTCTTTTATATTCAGGCTACCCCATATTTTTTTTTTGTTTTTATGTGAAAACGGTGAAAATCAAAATTGATGAAGCCATGAACATGTCTAATGGTTGTTGATACACGAACACCAACAAAAAAAATGCAAAAAAGAAATAGTGAGTGAGTGACTTTAGTGAGCGAAGAATGTAACGAAAATAAAACGATCATACTGTAACGAAAATATGACATAGCGTTAATCAGATGAAGACAAAGTATAAATACATCACTCAAATTCGAGAAAGTTTCGCATCTGCTTCCACTTTAATGTTTATTTTCTTTGGAAAAAAAATATACCAAATGTCAGTCAGAAGTCAGCTTGACAATAGTCAAACAGTCACAAAACAAGCTTGGTTTTAGTAATAGCTGTTGTTACGGATTTGTTGTCAACTGTTGTTTTTCACAAAGAGCGCCGTGATAATTCCTGGTTGCCACAATGTTAAATAATCCCTGGCCGGGGTGATCAGATTTTTTATTCCTATTAACATCTATCCCTATATTTGTGTAATCGGTATTTGATTTTGGGTGACCAGGGTACCAAACCGTGCCTCGTGGAAGGGTAATTGCTTCACCATTTGTCAAAAGAAGGTGAGAGTCCTGTAAAAATAAGTTTAAATCTAAGTTCATTCCTAAACAGAAAAGTAACAAACCTGGGAACTTTTAAGAAAGGTATTTTATACATTATTATTTTAGTATTGAACTATAAAATTATTTCCAACGAATGAATTCCTCCTACCATGTACTTTAATCCAGTCCAAACACTGAAATAGTCGGAATAAATCTTTGGGCGCATGTACGATATCAGCTTCTGGTAATGAGCTTCGTCATAAACATTAGCAAGTTTCCAGCCGACTTCACTGCAAATGGCTTCAGCATTACTGAAGGAAATGTTTTTTGTCGGATATACAATGACACGGAAGCATTTGTCATTATATTTTACATCACAATTACCTGAAAAGCAAAAAATAAAACACACTTCACACAAAAACTTGACAATTTGTCCAAATAGCTCTACGAGGGCTAGATCCCAGACTTTCGCCTAACTATGCTTGCTTGCGTCACATGTTGAATTAATGGTGTAAATCGATACTCGCCATGTCACCCAATGCGTAATAAATTACTCAAGTCAATGCCGAAGTTCAAATATTTGAATGTTCATGCAACAGTAACGGTCTACATACAGCCCTGTGTTCTAATATGTAGATGAAGCGGAAAATCACTGTAACCTTCAACAACAATATTTAATTTTGAAAATTTTTCTCACCAATGCCCTGCTGTGGCTCGGTTGGAACGGCATGGTTAAATTCCATGGAAATGCTGATGTCTGCATTTGGATTCTCAAGCAAAACGGACTCGAGTTGTTGTTCCAGCTTTTCTCTCAGTTCTGAAGCATCAATGTTGTGTCATAAATTATTATTAGGAAACCCTTTGTGCTTGTTATTGAGGAAATGAACTCATACCGATTGAACTGAACCGTTAATATGCGTAATTTTATTACAATTCTAGTTTCGCATTTCTGGCCATTCAGGTCATTGAATATGATTAATTTGTGGCTTCAATTCTTTTTTTGTCCGCATGTTCGTATATGAAACTCATGGAATGTTTTACATGCAGGTGGCTCCCTCCACCGTTAAGTCCAAGCTTCCAAAAACAAATAACTCGCTAACTGATCCCATGACTAACATAAGGATTATAGTAACCAGACGAGAGGCCGTGGTCCGCCATATGATTAAGTCGTCTTACCGGCCTTGCTCTACTCCGGGATAATTATGTAAATCTATCCTATTATAAATTATTAGGCATATATACGAAATGTCGTAGGGAAATTCTCTATTATAATCTTTTACCAAGAACAATTTCAAAATATTTCACTACTCACCCTTCTCATTAAGTGCCTGTTGAATCAAAATTAAAAAACATAGATTAGTTTGTGGAAATAAAATTTTAAAAATAGAAAAGATCATTTAGCAGCAATATGACTCACCGACAGCGTAATTGTTTTCTCGATGCTACAGGATGAAGTGTCTGGTTCTTCTTGTTGTTGATCGTGCATGAAAAAGTAAAATAGTTATATGAAGTATAATGTATTTATAACTTGTTTTTATTGTGGAAGTATTCTGACAAAAAGGAATTCACTCGTGTTAAAAATGATATTTCATATATTTGTAAGCTACGCAATAAAAATGTACATGTAAAGCAAAAATGGAAAAGGTAAAATTGATGATTAAGTACTCCCCGTAGTATGTGCACCAAGATGGCGGACTCTGGAACGTAGTATGTGTACCACGTTAGGAATTAAATATCGCAATATAATCAGACCATTACAAAAAATCCACAATTAGATAAAATAAATTGCATTTTCAATGCATTGTCGAAACGTTGCAAATGTACTTCATAAATAACCGATATTTTTTTAAATAACATATTTAGTTCGACTTTAATCTACTTATCATGTTTTGTCAGATTTTCTTATGGGTGCCGCTGCTCGATAACCTTTTTTGGTTTTCGGTGTCTCCCTTCACCTCGACATACCATTTTTTAATTTTTTTTTACTTCGTGTATGTATAGTTCGTTTTTTTCATTATGGTAAAAAAATAAATAACTGATTTCTGAGCATGTTTTAATTGAACTCTCACATAGTCTTGTTCAAACAATATTCTCAATTTTTGAGAGCAATATTTGTTTCAGGAAAAAAAGTTAACCTCTCACCTGTCATTCCATATTCCAAGCATAAAAGCAAAATGAGAATATGCGAAAACATATTGCTTCTCTTCTGCGTAACCACTGCCTTGTCAACTGAAATACTAAAATAAAATTGACTAACGTCGTACGCTAACATATACCATCAATTTTTTTTTCTTTCCGTGACGTTTATCCCATACTATAAATTGAAAGTAGTTATTATCAGGATTGGTTGCCAGATAAATGCAAGCTTATATCGGTTTTATCTACGAGCGAGGTGCGTGAGGTATCAATTTGTAACACAGACTATGATGGGGCATTTTGCATCACAATACTGGAAACCAGGAAGTATATCTGCAATGCTCTCCCCCGCACGGTAATTAAACTTACATTGCACCTGCATGCACTTTATTCCAAATATGACGCATTGCATGATAATTCACTCCTAAATCCAACCGTATGTTTAGTGAACTAACAAAACTAGTTTGCTGAAAAATATGAGCATGGATGTACTATTTTGCATTAAAATAATGGAAACCAGGAAGTATATTTGCAATGCTCTCCCCCGCACGGTAATTAAACTTACATTGCACCTGCATGCACTTTATTCCAAATATGACGCATTGCATGATAATTCACTCCTAAATCCAACCGTATGTTTAGTGAACTAACAAAACTAGTTTGCTGAAAAATATGAGCATGGATGTACTATTTTGCATTAAAATAATGGAAACCAGGAAGTATATTTGCAATGCTTTCCCCGCACGGCAATTGAACCTGCCTTGCACCCGCGTGCACTTTATTCCAAATATGGCTCGTGATAAATTACCCCAACCTTATTTATAGTCAACTGACAAAAATAATTTAGCCGAAAAATATGAGCATAGATGCAGTATTTTGCATTGGAAATACTACTTTTATATTTTTGCATTAAAATACTGAAATCCGGGAAGTATATTTGCAATGCTCTCCCCTAATTGAACCTATGTTTCACATGCGTGCGCTTTATTCCAAATATGACGACATGGCGCATTGCATGATGAATTACTTCTACATCCAACCATATTTTAGTGAACTAAAACAGTTTTGCAAAAACAATAGGAGAGTGGCACTGTCGCGATATTGTAATGACCAAATCATGCCGAGTTTTTATACAGTATATATAAGTTCATAGTTTTGTATAATATGATGGGCAACCAGTATGCTTCCCAGCTTTTCATTTTGAGGGTGCTTGCAAATTTGGGCGGTTGCAGAAATTTCACGATAAACTATTGCAAATGTGTTACGTATTTCTCCGACCATATGCACTTGTGAATACGCCACTTTATAGTTCAGTGATTTTGAAATATTATAGGCCACACCCTTTTTTATAATTTGTCAAGTCTCGCGTCCACATTATAAATAACTAACAATAGGCTACAAATAGCAGATGGTAAGAAGAAAGTTTTATTCAAAAAACACTTTGAAAATATGTGGATGTAACGTATATATCCAAAATAAGGCGGGCAAGATCAAATTAGCTTTCGCCCCCCTTCGCCATGTCTCATTTGTCTACTTGTGATTACTTATTCACTCTCATGTATCCTATCCTATCTATAAAGCATTATAGGCTCATTAAGCATTATTAATAATTTATTCAAAAAGGGTGGCATACGCCAATGATTTTATTACAAAATAACGTAGTATGTGTACCAGGTTAGGTCACAATTTTAGGTACAAATACTACGGGAATCACTTGGATAGTCCCCGAACTCGTAATAAATGTTTTTATCACAAAATATCTATGTTTTGTGCAAGTCCGGAGTCTAAGTGTTTGAATGTTGGAATGGCGGAGACATGTTTTCTTTAATGTGAGAGAAAATCGAATGTTTCGAATCGAAATCAAACACGTAGTTGAGGGTAAAATTTCCCAGACTCTCCATCCCAGTTCGTATCGACTTTTCTATCTCCACGATCAAATATTAAGCATCGCAATCTGGTACATCAGTGTCCATGTCCTGATTTGTGCAGCAATAGATAAAAACTTAAAATGCCTGGCCTTAGATAGAATCAACAAAAAGCAAACTGTTCAGTAATCAGGTTCATTTCAGATATATACAATCAAGATATAAGAAAGTGATTCAAAGAAAAACAATATTACGGACACTGGTTCAATAAAGAGGTGGCGGCATCTCAGACGTCCATTGAGTAATAAATTGAGTGGGTAATGAGGAATGTTCGGAGCAAAGGCGCAAATAGGCGTTGCATAAAAAATAATATGAGCCAAATACAATCTACAAACGAACTATTTTTGTGAACAACTTTGAATTGATATGGACATTATGGGAACCATACGGGAAGATGGCTTTGCTCTTACACTTACAGAGATTACAAATTTCTACCAGAAAATACGAGTTCGCTAGAACTGAAATAAAGATAATTGGAATAATAATATGGGCTAACCTGGCACACATACTACGTTCCGGTGTACGCCATCTTAGTACGCAAATTTCGGGAATATCCAGAAACTGATACGGTACGGGTATCGGGTGGGGGTCCGTCAAAACTAAGATTGACAAATAGTGGTCCGCGGTCCTAAAAGTTTGGGAAACATTGTTCTAGGAATCTAGGACATGATCTTCAATTTACCCCCGATAGAGAAAAGCGTATAAGACGAATTGATCGCCTCTCGTCCGGTTACCAGGATATGGGATAGTCATCCAGTTATTTGTTACCCGCTAATTATCACGATATTTCAAAGACGGGTTCGCTAATAGCACGATATTTTAGCGACGGGTTGCGGGATTTCAAGAACAGGTTCGCTTTTATTGCAAGATTTTAAGAATGGGTTCGCTAATGTCGCGTTATTTTGAACCTTCTGAATATGACCACTTGGGTAAACAATACGTTAAAAAAGAGTTTCTTGTCTTTGTTCGTTGTAATTTGAGTTTGATAAAATATAAGTTTGACATCCACAAATCTTGGTTAGATATCGTTAATGTTGATTATGATTCAAGCATCATCAGTCTTTAGCTAGTCGTGAATGTGAAATTATGGTTCAATTTCGCATAAATATTTTAGTTTGATGTGACAACCTTCATCGTTTAGCTCCCAATCAAGGCTGCCCCTCATTTCAACGCAATCCTGATTACCGCCATGGCTGTTAGGTTGATGATCACCCCAGAGAATAGAACCTGCAGTTGCCGTAACGCCATCTTCCCAGATAAACGTGTTTTCCTCTTGAATGTCGTTCAAACCAATCCAAGTGTTGGATCCTCCAATTTTGACCAAGGGTAAGATTTCTCTGCAAAAAAAAAGTTCGTTAGGTACGCCCATTCCCTCAAGATTCTAGTGACCATATAGACGCGAACAACCTACTGTGGGTATTTTTTTCAAAACATACTGACCATGAGATATTTTCTAGTATAACACAAGTGTAATAGACAATGGATCTGAATAGTGTTTCTTAACGGGGGTCCTATACTACCACAAGTGAGCTTTGAGGCTTTGAGGATATTTGAAATTGGACTAGAGTTTTCATTAGGCCTACAGTAGGTCCCAAGACAACGTCATCAATTGTAAATTGAAAAGAAAGGAGATGTTTGAGGTTGAACCAAAGTTTGGAATTTCAACTTGGCATGCTGACAAATAGACACAGCGATTAGTTTGATCGTTGACACTTTTACTGTTGTTTAAATTAATAAAAAAAAATTATAATACTGAATTTTCATTAAAGCATTTTTGGGCATAACATTGATATTCACGGCAAAAATGGGCTACAAAAGAGAATAAAGATTGGGAACTACATCTCTAAAAAAATTTAGTATATCTGAGAACTGTTAAAGCTACACCTTTCTAATATAACCCAAATAATTCATTCGAAAATTAAAAGGATCGCGCAATGATCCAGTCTACCTGCGGACATTTTCATCTCGAATTCCTGCCGACGCTAGTCTACCTCCGTTTCTCATGCAATTTCCCTGCGCAACGTCGTACGAGACATTCTCGAGGAATAGTTTATAGCGGTAGTTGTTCCGCGCTTTGTACCATGTTTCGGCGCTATTAGCTTCAATTCCGCGTGATTTTGATATCATCTCTTTCATCTGCTCACGGATTTGTTGTATTTCTGTAAAGCAATTGTAAAGTCATTTTATCGATACTTTCTATGATCGTATGCAAGACGATTGGTCGACTCTTTTTATGTCTTAGGATTTACATATTTATCCCGGCAAAGAGGAAAGCCGATGATACACCTTAATCAAAATGTGAACCACGGCCTCTCGTTCGGTTACCAGTCCATGTCGTGTGAGGGATTAGTTAGCCAGTTATTTGTTTTCGGAAGCATGAACTTGCGTTGCGTCTTATGTGTATATACTATATAGCATAAATTGTTGCACTATATTTTCTTTGTTGTTCTATATTTTATTCGATTGTAGTTGACTTGCTCTGATTAGACTTGTATAATGAAATATCAATTCACCTAATTTCAGCTCTGCCATGTCTTCATTGCATTTCTCAACGACCGGATGAATTTGATCTGAATATAAAGATTGATATTATAATAAATCATACTTGGCAGTTACTTCGGATATGGAAATGATACAAAAAAGAAGTTTCTTAATTAAACAGTTCAAAGACGCAACTGGACAGATTGAAAGCCCAACAGGTTTCCATCGGCTGCACTTTGTTGGGCGATGGGCGCACTTGAGTATGCGTGCTATACTCGCCATTTACCGCACCGCTGATCATGTACGAGAGAATTGTGAGACTGTACGGCTGTGGTTCCAACCTTTATGTATCGTGGCTTCCTTTTGGAAGCTTTTAGCACTCATGGCCTACTATTTGCCATTGCGAAAATAAGAGCAATGGCCGTATTGCGCAAATTCAGGCCATCTCGATTTACTTTGGTAAAAGCAACGCAGCCGTAGTTCTATTTCCGTTCTTTGTCATATATGAAATGGCGCTCCAGGAGTGTGTGTACCAATATGGAGGTAACTAATTCTGTTCGCCTAATTCATATCAAGTTGGGTAAAGGGACGAAAATCTATGGGCAGGGGGTATATTCACTCGGCTAACACACATAGTCCAGAACTAAAATAGGGAAAATTGCAATAAAGTTATAGCCTAACCCTAACCTGGTACACTTACTATACGTTCCGGTGTCCGCCATCTTGGTTCATATACTTCGGGAGTACCATTGAATCTACATTACCATGTTAAATTCAATAATTACCGTTTATATATTCTTGTATACTTTCATTTACGATTTTGTAATTCACCACACCAGGCGGCCCAGCTTTTCCTCGAATTATTCTTCGATCGTTTGTAACAGAATTCTGGTCTCTGTTGGTGCAATACAGATGCATTTGCTGATCCTAAAGAATGTAAATTAACAATAAAGTATAAGTATTCCTGTTTCTAGCTACGGCCCGCGGGCCGGAAATGGCTCACCGCCGTAGAAATTACGCCTACAGTATACTGTTTATTGATATAAATTCGTGTTGATAATAGCGTTGAAAATAACGAATCGTCGGCTAAAATATAGACCGTAATTCACCGAGTATAATCTGCACCTGCATAAATATGTGAGACATAATATCATGCACTATGGTTTCTAAGTGGGGCCTGGTTCAATTTTTGTATTTTAAGGTAATATAGATGCGCTTTATATTCTACAATATTAAAGTAAATAAACTTTATTTACTTTAATTTATTTTTTACATAAATATGTTTATCCCCAATGTGGGATATTTAGAAAATCGCAACTGAATTGCTTAGAAACGTCATTTTCCGCGTGTTTTTGCTAAGTAGCGACATATTGTTGCGGTTTATATATTTTAAACTAACATAGAAGTACATTATTAAATTTAATGTTCTTTAATTTACAATAAAAGGATTTTCATTTCTAATGTGGGTAATTCAGAAAATCGAGACTGAATTGCATAGAAATGCCCTTTTTAACGTTTATCCGCCAAGAATCGACATTGTTTGCGTTTATATCTTTTAAACTAATATGGATGTACAATATTAAATTCAATGTACAATAAAAGGATTTCTACTCCTGATCTGGAATATCGTAGAAAATCGCAACTGAATTGCATAGAATTGTCATTTTTTACGTGTTTTTGCTAGGTAGCGGCATTATTTGTTTTATATCTTTTAAATAAACGAGGATGCGTATTATTTTATACGTTCTTAATTTAGATTCCGGTAATGTACTTTTATTCCAAATAACACGAAATTTCTATTTATAATGTTCCATATTCCAGAATCCTACAAGTTCATTTTTCGATAAATATTAGACTGCTCTCTAATTTGAATGCGCATATTCTTTGACATTTCAGTAATAATTAAATTTTGTATATCCTGATGTAAAATACTGGTCATTTTGATTTTTCACTCCAATGAACTCTGAATTTCGCTGTAATGAACCTCCTTATCCTCACCAATCTGTACGTACGCCTTGAATTGTTGGTAAAAAGTTTTGCCGGAATTTCAGAATTATAGATGTGGTCGGGGGTTAATTAAAGCCAAAACTACGCGGCAACGTGAAACACCCGGCGACGGCAAATATTTTGGAAATGCCCGTCCGTAAATAGCGTTCGTCAAAAACTGCAACAGTTTGTCCTAATCATGGATAAACATCGAATCTTGAAACATATTAAATTTTATGCGACTTTTTTATTGTAATGGGTCGTACGGGTACATGAATTGCCCAGAATATATTTTGAATTAGAGACAGTTTGCTGAGAGTTCACACACAAGAAGTAATATATTTCATCAAGAACTCACTAAAAAAAAGTCATATGTTAGAATTGCATAGTAAATATATGGCTTGAATAATAAAAAAAAAAATCCGAAATTTTTGTCTTGCCCGATTCGTAATGTCCAGCCCTCATGATCACTGTCATATAAGCCAGGGTCGTGCAACCTTTAATACAGGGGGGCCAGGTAGAAATAACTGGGTAAAACCGCAGGCCGCACCTTTATTTAACACGAGCTATCTAGTAGTTGTTAATTGTTGGTTATTGATCTTATGACATGTGTATTTCTACAAGCTAGCATTTAAGGCATTGTAAAGTTTTAGGCATGGATAAATTAGACTTCGTTCACGGCGCAAAGAGATTGGTATTACTCGCAAGTATTAAATTCAAATTGAATTGAAAACTCGTTCCGTGGGCCGCATCTCATTCAAAATTGGCACTTCTACGCGGGGCGCATAGTTTTTTTTGACAACCACATTTGGGTCAAATGTTTGCGGGCCGCAGGTTGCACACCCTTGAATGAGCTATCCAAAAATCGCGCCTGACGCGCTATTTTGAACAGATCGAGACAAAGAATCAGATAACGTGAACGATTAAAAAACAAACGTCGAGCTTCTCAACACATATACACACTTACTTGCGAACTTTGTTCCGGGATTCGTTGTCCATGTGATATTTCAACGCATAGTATCATGAGTATCCAAGTAAAATACATGATCACTCACTATGCGGTAACAATGCTTCGGAAAACGGAACACAATTAGGTTTAAATTTTGTAAATATATATCTTTAAATAAAAAAAAATTTTATAACAAAAATTCCTCGTTTTAGTTAGAAATTCTACTGACGTTGGCTTATACCTAGAGACGTTTGGTCAATTAATTCACGGCAATCAGTCTCCGGGATTCTATCACTTCTCTGCGTTCGCAAAAAACAAAAATATCTACAAATTTATCGGCTTAATTCTGAGCTTAGCGAGATCAAAATTAACGTGAACAAATCAGGTATCTATGGTTAGGGAGCCGATATGTCAAACAGTATATGTAAACTCGGGACCTTATGAAAGATAGTAACTAGCTAGCTGTTAGCAGAGATTGTAAAAAACCTTGCTTAGAACAAACATTCAAAATGACTGCTAAAAACGAAATTTCTAAACAGCTAACAATCTTAAAAAAAACTTTCAAGAATCGATATATAACATACCATGCGCAGTTTGGCGCTCAATTCGTAATATATTGTGCTAGATTTTTTCTTATATTCTTTCGTTCCGACTTCTATACTAACATACAATGTGCAGTTTGGCGCTCAATTCGTAATATATTGTGCTATATTTTTTCGTTCCGACTTCTATACTTTTCTTTTTTGTTATCTCGTAAATTTTTTTTTTTTGTCTCAATTCTCTCAAATGTGACTTTCTGCACATTTGAGAATGCAAAACTTTTTAGTAATAAAATTGCGAAATTTGCAAGCGAAAGTGATGACAAAATTACGGCAAGTTTTAGATTATGTAACACCATATGATAAAATACTCTACAAAAGTAGTTCCCAACCATTTATGGTTCATGGCCCCATTTCGTGGGCTTTTAGCACTCGTGGCCCAGTGGTATTTATAGTGTTATTATGATTGATGAATTCCAAACCCATTATAAAACAATTCATGCTCAACAAAGTGAAATGAAATACCCTTACCAAGCAGTGAAACTAGGAAGAACGGGGAATTTTCTTTTAAAGTGAAAATTAAAATCAGTTTTGCGCTTAGCATTATGACTCCCTCCAACTGCTCTGCGGCCCATTGGGATGCTACGGGGTGCCGGTGCTATAGAACCTGTTACGAGAGGATATGTTGTTTTATTTCTATTTTCACGGCTTTCTATTTGAACAAGGCTCTATAATAGCAACCACTGGGCATAGCACCGCATCTTCCAATTTATTACACCTTGTGTGAGGTAATGGCGACGGACTCGGACATGAATCTGCAACCACTAATATCTAATGATGTCTGAGAAGCCTTTTCGGCTTAACATTGCCTACTCCAGGGGTTCTCAATCTTTTATTGTGATGAAGTCCGTGAGGAGGTTGAAATTTATTTACGGAATCCCACAATAAATTTATGAGATGCGATATTCATGATAATTCGAATTACCGCCTCATTGCCGCATTTCGACGCTAACGTTGTCAATCAAATTCCATTAATGCCGTTATTGCTGCCGTGAACGGTTCCATTACATTTGAACCCACGTACATTTGAACACATGACAATTGCACCTGTATGCTATTGCACCTATGGAATTTTTTTTGTGTCACGGATAGTTAAACCCATACTAACCCTAACCCATGGGTTTTAGCACCCGCATATAGATTGAACCCGTGGATATACGCATGGGTTCAAATGTACATGGGTTCAAATGTACGGTCACCGCCGTGAACAATTACAAAATTTATCAAGTCTGTATTTCAATTGGTAAACGATTTCTCTCACTAAGGTATGGTGGGAGCTCTTTGGGAATCTGCCTCCACTAAAACTAAAGGCAAGAGCCACCACTAATCTGACATAAACTGCTAAAGCAAAAATGAAGTATGAATGGCGGGTGGACTTCGTAAATTAGCAGATTAAATAGTTTTGCGCAAATCACAGCTTTGTTATTCTCATAAAACACAGTTAAAATAACAATTTTTTTTAAAGCGAGATCGGAAACCAATTAAACGGACGAGTTGTATTAGTATCACGCGAAGGTGTGCGCCACGGAAGTAATTGTCTTAAAATACTACAAACGGGGATTTTAGCAAACTCGGTATCGGCCATTTTTCCGGTATCGGTATTTTGTGTTGGTATCGACTAAAAATATACACGTAATTCCGATATTTCCAACTCTTTGAGCTCAGATTTGATTTAAAATATTTTGAAACAATAATTAGTATAAATATATTGATGACTGAAATTATTTTGCCCTGAAAGAATCACTAACGGCATTTACTGCTCATTTAACTATCAATGTTGTTGATGTAGTATAAGGAGTGACTGGCATCTGCCCCCACCTTCGCAAACGGGTATTATAGCGTCTTCTGGAACCATGACGTTTTATTATAATTTCGAGATCAATTTCAAAATTTTACTCAATTTGAGTTCAAAATTATAATTTCAAATTTAATTTAGATTTTAAAAAATTCAGCTGTGACGTTGTGTTATCTGACGTCATAGTCAATTTAAAAACCAACATGAAGGCACAGTGGATATCTGTCCTTCAAGGTTTAAATATTGCTAACTGTAAATATTGTACACAGAAAGATATTTCATCCAGTCCGTTTGTACATCGAAAAACATTATATATACAGTACGCTGCCGTTTTATACTTTAGCAATTTTGCATGGTAATAGTTTGCATGTTTTATTAATCGCCACATATGCAAGATGCAGACCAGACGCGCAGCGCTCAAAATGAACTGAAAGTTTTGATAATCCGGTCACAATAGTACGCTGCCGCTATATACCTTAGCAATTTTGCATGCATGGCGACAGTTTGCTTTTGGGCGGGTCTCAACTATCAGCGGAAATCCTAGAGACACTTTTGTATGATATACGAAAACACTTTACCCATGATTTTTCCAACCAAGCACAAAAAGTTTATCCGACATTTTATGCTTAAAAGGCGCTCTTTTTGGCTAAATACACAATGTGTTTTTTGCTCTTGTCATTTCTTTGAATATTTCCCCGTTTTGTCCGGTGCCTTTATTAATAAGGCTGTATAGATAAGCGATAGAAAATTCCACATTTTTATTTGGCCCAGCTATATGTCTGAATGTGACCCACTGACGAAAAATGTTGCACAACCCTACCCTAAACCAAGTAAACTCACGGGTTATATTCACTGGGTTATATCTCAATGGCGATTAGTTTAGGACGAATCTGAGTCATTCCATTTAGAATTCAATGGTTTTCAAACGTTGGGTCGTAGTCAACTTTTTGAGGAAGCGTGAAGCTAATTAAAAATGAAAATATAAGTTAGATTAGATGTTGTCCGCCTTATTTTGGATATTTAAATGTCATCATTTAAGTTCCATCCACGTATTTTGAACGTGGTTTTATTAAAACGTACTTTCGCCTTACCATCTGCAATTTGTATCTTTTTGTTAGCTAGTATTGAGGTGAGGTGCGAAATCTGGCAAATTCTAAAAAAGGGGGTGCGGCTTAAAAAGTTTGAGAACCACTGATTCAGATGATCTAAGTTAATTTGAGACTTTGATGAATATTGACCGAGTCCGACTCGAGTCAATGACTCGAACTTTCTCTGTACAGTGGGTCACAGATTTGGAATCAAAGTTCATACCTATTTTCAATACCTAACACGAAGAATTAAATAGTGTTAAATCACTTTTGGCATTGACACCTATGTATCTAGAGTTGGAGTCAAAATTAGATATATCAAATGCAATGTTTTTCCTAAAACCCAGTGTCCCAATCAAAATTTTGACACTGCAGAAGTGTAGTAACCAATACGAAGATTACTAATTTCGTTCGCCTATTTTACTTTGAATTCTGTGAAGGACTGAAACTTATGGGAATGGGCTATATTCACCTAGCTAACACAGACAGTCCCCGACGTCCTAATATAATTAAAATGAGTAAAATTAGAATAAAACTATGGCCTAAGCCTAACTTGGTACAAATACTACGCGGGTATCAAATTGTGTACCCCTTTCCCCCAGATCAGTTCTTATCGGCTTTTCTCTCACAACAATCAATATAACCATCTTATTCTATTATATCAGTGTTCTTGTCCTGCTTTTAGTGCAGCAATAGATAAAAACTGATAACTGGCCTTTCATAGAATCAACATAAAGCAAACTGGTTAGTAATCAGCTTTATTTCAGCTATATACAATCATGGTAAAAGGAAGTCATTCAATGAAAATCAATATTACGGGCAATGGGTTCAATAAAGGGGTGTACGCATCAAAAATACATATTATAACCTATTTTCTTATTGGGACACCAACTAATGTGATACCCATACACACAATAGTTAAATTAATGAAGGGGTGGCGGCATCAAAAATGCATATGAGAACGTATTTTCCTATTGGGACATAAACTAATATGATACCTATACAGACACTGGTTTAATAAAGAGGTGTCCGCCTCAAAAATACATATTATAATCTATTTTCCTATTGGGACACAAACTAATATGCAGGCTTGTCCATGGGACATATTTTTCTGTCCCATTCTCATCCCATACCATAGAAATTATGCTTGTCCCATCCCATCCCATGGGATTCCTACTGGAATAAAATTCAATAAAAATCGTTAAATTTAGGTTTAGCGTCTACTAAATAGGACTACATGTACGAAGAGACATACGAAACAACAAAATTTACGGACTTCGTTAACTCTATATTCATAAATATTATAAATGTGTCCATTAGCCCCTTCACGAAGTATATTGTTGATGTTGAAGATATTTTGCTCTTTATAGCTAACAAGATAGCTATGCTCGAATATATGGACACGAAGTCCATAACGAAATGTTTTACCATCATTTCCCTGAAAATCACCGATATTGCTTGTCTTTATCGTACTTTCTTAGGTAAAATTTGGTTTCATCACAAGTTTATGTAAAGTGTATTTCGTTATCTATATTTGGATTCAATTCGATTGCTCAACTTTACAATATACCAAAATTTGGCATCACAATATACTATGTGCTTATTGACTTCTAAAGGAAAGCAGGGCGAGTTACAGTGTATCAAACGTGTGTTAACGCTCAGATCACCCCCTATACAACTTCCGACCCTTAGTTATAAGTATGAAAGCTCATTAGATATTTTCAAAAGATATAATACAGGCATAATGGGCGCTACGGCATAACTTTAAAGACTATGGCATAGTGGGATCTGGAAGAACGAGTCTGAATCGTTTATATGAAAACTAAGCAACAGTTGTTTAGATTATTCTACGATTATATTCGATTTCGGTCAAGACACCCTTATTCATCCCAACAACCCAAGTCACCTGCGAATATCTTCATCTCGAATTCCCGCCGATGCCAGTTGGCCTCCGAGTATCGTGCAATTCGCCTTCGCCCCTGCGTAAGTGGCCAGGTCGTCAAATAGTTTGTAGTAATAGTTGTTACGTGCTTTATACCAAGTGCTGATGTCTACAATTTGGTGTATAGTTAATGTTCTAAGACTCCCAAGCTGCTCGCGGATTTGCTGCATTACTGTGAAGTGAATTTAGATTTATTTATTATCACGCCTTCGTTATTCAAAAGAGCAAAAACCTAATATAAATATAAAAATCTCATTTTCTTTTCTCACTATAGGTAATATTTATGAAATCCTAAAATTATGCTCATTCCATTACGATACGAAAATTTAAAAATAATCATGAACCGCGCAAAATATTTAAGCTTTGTTATTCGATTTTTTTCATTCGTTTTTTGTTTGAGTGAGCCCAGATGCTTTAAAAAAATTACAAAAAGTATTTAAAGGCTGAAAAACTTGTGGGACAAAAATAATTTGTTGTGGGCAACTTTTACGAAAAAGCTTTTATCTTGAATGAAAGGTCCCAAACTCGTATGCTCAGTTTTACTAAACATTATTCGTCTTATTGGAAACGAAATGTAAATATGGAATCTTGTCAATTCTTTGTCAGCATTTTCCTTTTATGCAAAACTCGCTTTTCTCATTAACTACAGAAGCAATTGCTTTCAAGTACTGGTTGAGGATCTTATTTTTGATAACTAGAAGGCAATCACTTTTATTTCCTCCAAAAATTTATGTTGATTCTATGGGATTCGTTATTTGCATGTTGTGACGTCATCAAAAATTGCGCACCTTGTGGCGGTTCCGCGATAGCGTTAGTTGTGAACACTGCTGTACCGGTAGTCTACTGTTACAAATTGCATATACGTACTACTTCGTTTTGGCCGTGTCCAGATATTTGAGCATGGCTCTCATGTTTACTAAAATGAATCGTTAACTATTTACCTGCTTTCAAATCCTCTATGTCTTCGCTAGATTTCTCAACAATCGGGCCAATTTGAGTCAGCTTTGCTTGTATCTGTCCGGAAATATCTAAACAAAAATTTATCCGACTTGAAATAACAATGTTATAATACAATATTCACGAAAATGTCTGCATGTGTAGGACATTGATAAAATTAGAAAAATCCGAAACAAACGTGCCGATATTTTTTTAATTGCGTAAATCGATGTAACCTTAAGAATATTTTCAGAACGAATTTCAAATTACAATATTCCGAATTTAATATTTTCCGAGTTTTAATTTTCTTGGTAAATACAAAGACTAAGGGGTTGAATGGAGCTATATACAAATCCTGGATTTTTATCATTATTACTTTGTTTAATTGGATCGGAAAACTGTTTCATGCGCTACGGAAATGTAAACCTGAAAAATTGGAGTGAATTATTCGCATAGGAAGTTCAGAGATAGGGCTTGGCATTTCGAATCGAATATTCTAATCGAATAATAAATTATTTGAATCGGTTTGAAGTAAAATTTCAAATCGCCGCCATTTTGTTTTTTCGGACCTCCAGAAGTATGTGGATCAAAATGGCGCACAGCCTGAACTTAGTATGTGTACCAGGTTAGGGTTCAAGTTGTGCGCCATCTTGGTGAACATACTTCGGGAGCGCCGTTTTTTATTTCCACCAATGGTCGAGGTAAATTTCTCAATTTTTTTTTAATAAGACATATTTTTTCAACCCAATTCTGACATATGACTCGTTTTTGTAGTGAGTTCTTGATGAAAACGTGTTTTTCACTGTGTGTGAATGATCAGCAATCTGTCCGAGTGAGGTATTCTATGTTTTCGGTTTTCGATATTTTATGTGTCTGGAGAACCCAATACAATAAGAAAGTTACACACAATTATATATCTCCCAAGTATTCGAGATTCGATTCGAAAAAAATATTCGATTCAATTCTCATATCATCGGGTGTTCGAAAATGCCCAGCCCTACTCAGAGAACATACAAAAATAGTAAATATTTTTACAAACGACCCTATGAACCACAATAGAAATTTCAAGAATAAAATGCAATACACATGCTCAATTCGTAATCACATACCATTGAAATGTTCTTTTATAGTTTCATTTACGATTTTGTAATTCACGACACCAGGAGGCCCTGCAGGTCCGGCTTTTCCATGTTTAATTCTGTAACTGGATCTGGCGGAATGCTGGTCTCGCTTAGTGCAATAGAGATGCATCTCCTGATCCTAAAAAATGTAGATTATCAATAAAATGTAAATATGTGGAGCGTAATACGATTATCTTATCTTGACGGCAATGATTCTATTTTGGTTCTTATTGGTTTCTCCAGTTGACTTCACTAGGGATGCCACTTTTGGATTTTTGAATCGCATCTTTTCCGAATCGATTCGAATCAGATTTACGCGATTCGGAAAAAGAGAGCGATTTACCGAAAAAAAAACATGGAACGTTTGTTAAATCGTTGTTTTCGGAGGCTTTAAATCTGCCGGATGCGTGTAACGGCGCTCCAAATAACACTAAATCACGGGACCGAAAAGAAAAACATTGAACGTTTGGTAATCGTTGTTTTCGGCGGCGTTAAACTGCCGAATGCGTTTATGCGGCACTCCAAATAACACCAAAACGGTACCGAAAGAAAAACATTGAACGTTTGTTAATCCTTGTTTTCGGCGGCGTTAAAACTGCCGAATGCGTTCATGCGGTACTCCAAATAACACCAAATTACGGGACGGAAATAATAAAAATGAATTTTTGTGATTGATTTTTTTACTTATCTGCCGTCATTTGTTTCAAGTTCGGCACAACACACTCTTTTACGCATCACTCGATATGATGTGTGGCGTAATTTCCACCAAACTGCGAGTTCAGTTTTCCTCTGAATAGCCTTAGTTTCTATTATGCGCGAATTTAAATGGATCGTATACCTGAAAATTCGTGACAATTTTGATGAAAATTTTCAACAGCACACCTGCGCTGCGGCTAAGTTATTGTACGCCCGGGCATGACTGGATAAGGAATCAGCTACCGACGTCTAGATAATATTTAATTTAAACTAACTTTGTTCTGAGTGCAATATTTCGCGTACATTTGAAGAGAACTATTACTGAATGAGTTCATCGGCCGGCAATGCTAATTGACAATCATGTTTCTCATCCTAAAATATATATTTATTTTGTTTGCGTTTGTCAGGCTTCCACTCGAGTGGCGGTGAAAGAAATCAGCGGGGCATTTTTTCAGCTGTTACAAAAAAAAGAAATATTTACTTTTAATTTTGTTAGTGCGATACAAGCGGGAATAAAACATTTCGGATTATTTCTAGCAAATTTCATAACGGACAGGTGGGGGATAAATAAATCTTGAGGAATGGCAACTTGTGCACTGTTTTACATCAACACGTGCCAGATTTCATACCAGACCAAGCATATTGTGCAAATGTCGTCTTACTTTAGCCCCAGCGACCATGTTTGATCGAGATAAAGCGTCGACCAATTATCGCTCGTCAGCGCGGCGTCCATTAGGCACATTTGGACTTTCTGAATCACGAAATTAAACATAGTCCACGATAATAATGAAGCCCGAGTTAGCCAATAACGCTGTTAGCCACAAATAATATTGTCTCTAATATTTATGGAAATTTTTGTTCGCAATCGTAGTCGGGTGAACGATTGTTTTACTCGAATTTAATTTAATCGTGGTTAATTTTTTATCGTCTTCAATCATATTCTTGCACGCATTTCCCATTTATACTAATTCAGATGCAATTAGAATGTTTTTGTCGTATTACACTATGCTGCCAGCATAAATAAAGAATATTGTACTAAAATTTTGAAGATAAATAATCGGTAATAAGGCCGGCCTTAATTCAATATAACAAGAAGTGAAATACCACAGTCACACATTATACTGGCGTGGGACTAGGGAAAGCAGTGCTGTTACTGTGTTTATGACGAAACAGTACAACTGTTCCCTGCTTATTTTCTCATATTCCATCAAATTGCCTCAGTCCTAATACAAGTATAACACAATAATAACAGATAAGTTGCAACAGCAAGTTTTTCATCAATGCATTTATTGGTGATATCTATGACCTACATCTTCTTTATCATGATGGAAATAAGTGTGGCACATACACTGAAAAGCACCGAAAAGCGAGCCCGCTAATTTGTAATTGATTTTTTTTTTTGGTATTCCCGTAGTGTGTGTACCTGGTTAGGGTAAGGCCATAATTTTATTCCGATTTTCCTTGTTTAATTCTATTACGATCTCGGGTACTATCAGTGTTAGCCAAGTGAATATCCTCCTGCCAATAGGTTTCAGTCCATTTACACAACTTGATGTAAAATAGGATAGAGGATAGAAATTAGTATTGAAATCGGCATGGGTAATATCGCATTTAAAATGTTCCTGCGGTTAAAGATCATGACAATTATTTTGGTTCTGTGAAAGAAAACTCTAAAAAACAGAAAATTGTCGGGTTCAAATTTTTTCTGGGTGAAAAGTCGTTTAACGAGGCCGACCAAAGTCCTGTCTGTACAAGCGATATTTTATCGACTGGAATCTTTCCGGTTCGGCATTGCTTTACCAAGTATTATACGCTGGGTGAGATAGTGGCCCAGTAGTTTGAGCGATGTAACCACTAAGCTATTGCGCATAAAAGTTGGTTGAATTTCAATATGTGCTTAACAGTGTTGAAACAAAAAATCAATTCTAGATTCCTTGTCAAGTGTTACTCAAAATAATATTCGAATTTCGTCAATTTTACATTAGTAGTAAACCCAAGACATTTGCTATTATTGACGTAAGTGTAGCTCAAACCAATTCGTGATGATTGCCCGGACAAAACAATAACGCCTCAAGTTAACATATAACGGCGCTCGGCCAAACTTTGATGTTTTAACTAAAAAAAGGGCCAAGGAATTTGTTGAGATTGCGATTAAATTTAGTTTTAGCACGAGGCTTATTGTTTTCCACTTTTGCTTTTGTAACACTGTAAATATTGTTAATAAAATATATACCTTTTTACGTCACAGTTACATGGCCCGCCTGTCTAGGTGGGTGAAATGTTTGGCTCTTGGTCCAAAAACCTTGCACACCCCTGCCCTATGCACATGCTCTTCAACAATAAGAGGCCCTATGCCATTCGTTAGCCCCCTTTAACAATGCCGCCACAAGGAATATGCGATTCACTGTTACGTAAAATATTATATGTCGTCATAAATTGAATCTTAAACCGCGTAAAATACGAAAGTATATTTGCAGGAAATATACGTCAACGAATCAACCAAGTAGATTAGATAGTAAGGTAAATTTGAAAACACTCTTTGAATTTGAATAAATTTAAAAGAACTAACGGGTGTAATGAAACGCTATAGCATTAGGAAACGTTGTTATGTCCATTTCCAGACTCGATTGATGTCACGATAAATATATTAATCCTTTTTATTATTTTTTAAATAAAGGGGTTTACGTCAAAAAGATCTTAAATAGTAAAAAATAAATGTCCTAGATTCTATGTTTCTTGAATTACTTAGTATATAACTAGGAAATATATATTTTCCTATCCTTTTCCGATAATAAAGGCGATATTATGGTCAAAACAAATTTTAAGAAACCTATAAGGAATATTATTTGTTGTATTATTTGTATGAAAGGACGTAGAGTCCCCTAAGGCACATGGGCTTCAGCTTACTTTGCCTAATGGTAAATCCGGCCCTATATATTGTGATATATGGCGACAATAAACCGAATCTTGAAACTCCGGCCTGTAAAATAATAAAATGGCGTTTCCTTCAAATCAGTTATATCTTGTTGGGAGTAATGGAGTGAACGTCATAAAAATATTTTGAAATTCTTAAAAAGTCATGTGAATCATCGTTTGAGTACAAGTCGCTATAAATTAGAAAAATGAAAACGAAAATGAAACTTGTTTCTGCCTTGTTTTTACTCATAACGGATCGGGATGACACTTACAGAATCCAGCCCAAATCTTTCAGTAATCCTTTAGTAATACCAACGGACGTACAAGACTCATTCTCTTCAAAAAAGAAATCAACGTTTGATTGGTGCACTTCCTTACATCATATCCGCATTCTTAGATGTTATTCGCTATTAAAAGTTCATACTTCAATGTTGAATGAAATTTGCAGTAAGACTTATGTAATTGTGCCGTTGCGTGGAAAACTCTATAACAGAGATGTGCAGCCTTTTAATACAGAAGGGCCAGATACAAATAACTGGGCCGCAGGTTGCGCACCCCTGATCTATAATCATAAATCGCGATCTCATTACTTATCGATTTTAATCGGTAAGTATGTTGATAGATATTTGTCTGTATGTCTGTCTGTCTGTTAGATGAACGCGATATCTCACGAAGGCGAGGTTGAATCTGCTCCAAATTTTGCATGTGCATTTATCATATCTCGGACCAGAAGTATATTGATTTTGGATGATTTATGTCGTATAATTAGCAAGTTATTAATTAATTAGTGATGGGACACAAGATGTCACTATGGAGTAATAGCGCTGTTTTGGGGGATCCTCCGTCTCCGACCGATATTCTCGTTTATTTTTTACCGGTTAATATCAGAGTTGTGGATTTGGGAAAATCCGAGTTGAAATTATTTTTGCATCTGAATCCGGAATCAGAAAATTGCGACTGCAAACTTCATTTTGATAAACTGTTATTAACGCTTGGAAACCTTCCAGATTTTGCAGAAAATTTATTTCATTTTGAAAAACTTTTCCCGACACCGAAGAATTCAAATCACAACTGCGGAATTGACTGCGGTGCAAACATGTCAAAATTCGTCACTAAAACCCCGGTCAAATTTTGATTTGGTAATAGATCGAAAGTGGGTTTATATTTTCTGATGTATGATATGAACGGAGAATCATGTCACAACTACGCGGTTATATAAACACCTTGTGACGGCGAGGACGATTGTCAAATAAATGTAACGATTTGTCTAAGACTAAGTCATTCACTAAGTACGCAATAATTCGAAAATCGTATTATCGCTGGTTCTGGCTTAACCAGTCTGGGGGAATTCGATACTTCAGAATTCTCATATTTTGAATAGTTTCGCAGTTTTTCGAGGCGACATTGCCTCTACTATTCGAAATTTGGTAATTTACACTTATTTACGCTTTGCGGTCTGACAAAGACTCAACTTTATGCGAAGGGCTAGCATTCCTGGCATATAGTATTCCTATACTTATTGTTCTATTTCTTTCTAACTAAACAAGATTACGACAAAAAGATCCGAAATAGTGAAAAATAAATGTCCTACATGAGTACATTCCATGTTTTTTGAATTACTTAGTATATAACTAGGAAATATATACTTTTTTATCTTTTTTAAATAATAAAGTCATTATCATGACCGAAACAATTAAAAAAACTATAAGGAATATTAATTGTTCAAAAAAAGGTGTCATGGCCCTATGGCCCATGGGCTTCAGTTTACTTTGCCTAATGGTAAATCCGGCCCTGTGTAGTGTGATATATGGCGGCAATAAACTGAATATAGAAACTCCGGCCTGTAAAATATTAAAACGTCATAAAAATATTATTTGATTCTCAAAAAGCCATGCCCGAATCTATTTGACATGTAATATGCAAAGCTCCGTTCGAGTCGAGGACAAGTCGCTATAACTCGCCTAAATTAGAAGAATGAGAACGAAAATGAAAACTGTTTCTGCCTTGTTTTTACTCATAACGGATCGAGAGAACATTACCACAATCCAGTCCAATGCCTTCATGCACGTTAATGCCAACGGAAGTACAAGACTCATTCTCAAGGAATCGTCTGCACCGTTTGATTGGAGCACTTGCTCTAATCATATCCGCAATTTTAGATATTACTCGCTATGAAAAGTTCATGCCTCAATGTTGAATGAAATTTAGAGTAAGGCTCGTGTAATTGTGACGTTGCGTGGAAAGCGTATATTACTCTATAACAGGGGTGTGCAACCTTTAATACAAGAGGGCCAGATACAAATAACTGGGCCGCAGGTTGACGCCTCTGCTCTATAATCATAAATCGCGATCTCATTTACTTTTTAACGGTTAATATCAGAGTCGCGGATTTAAGAAAATCCGGGTTGAAAAGTATTTTTGACTCTGAATCCAAAATCAGACATTTGCGACTGCAAACCTCATTTTATTAAACTGCTGTTAACCTTAATTAATTCATTACCAGTTACCGCAGAGAATTTATTTTATGTTGAAAAACTTCTATCCTCCGGACACCGGAGAATTGAAATCACAACTGCGACATTGACTGCGGTGCAAACACGCCGAAATTCGTCACTAAACCCCCGGTCAAAATTCGAATTGGTAGTAGATCAAAACTGTGTTTATATTGTCCGATGTATGAATGTGGTCGCTGAAAAACGAGTTAGCTAGTCGGTTACATAAAACACCTTGCCAAGGCGAGGACTCTAATAGACTTTCGTACGTAATCAGCGATGGCCAAATAGATGTCACGGTTTGTCTAAATCCAAACTTCCAAGTGTGGCCCACTGCATCATTTTCTGTGGCCCTCGTCACTTTTGGCGAATATCTCAACAGTCTACATAGAAAACTGATCATCAGTTTAGAGTTATACTCTCTGCCGCATTGTCTTTTTGTAGTCAGCGGAAACAGTAACACTCAAGTTGGTGCCTATATGTCAGAAGATTTAGTAAATATCATTTAATGTCGCGATAATACCTTGCTGTAACTTACTTCATAATTGCCGAAATTTAGTATTCGATCAATCTGCAGTGACTTGTAAGTCGCTTTGTAAACGTGGGTTCGAAAAAAAAATGACCAATTCAAACATATTTTAACTCGATATGAGAGAAAATGTACTTGTTTGAGTAAAAAAGCCTCATTGCTTGATATGTCTGCAAGTTGTGTCGGTGCTAAAATAATATACCCTAGACTAGAAGAGCTTTAAGGAGAGATTTCGCTTTCAGAATATTATCGATGTTCGGGATCGCTTCAGTTATGAAAGCACTTTCTCGGTTTTAAAAAGTCTGAAATCCACTACAATGAACAGGTTGGGAGACGAAATATTGGATGGACAGATTGGACAAAGACTTTTAATGACCAACATAATTATCGATATATAATCATTGATTATTGATAAAATGTCTTGGAACTCATGTGGCCCGCTAACAACACAAAGTTAATATTGCGGCCCCAACGCGACATTCTTGGACCACCCTAATCTAAGTTTTCACTCATCACGCAATAATTCGAATAGCGTATTATCGCTAGATCTGGCTTGAAACTGGTTTATCAGAGCAGAAATTGAGTAAATATCGGTCAAATGGTGGTAAAGGGTTAAAAAATAAATAAATGTGATTTCCTATAATAATTGCTACACCGCTCACCTGCCAACTTTGTTCGATATTTCGCTGTCCATTTGATATTCCAACGCATAGGATCACGAGTATCCAAGTACAATACATGATTCTTATACCTAATATCAATTCTTTGGAAGACTAGCAATTTCTGAAATAAATTTTCAAAAATAAATGCTTTTAAACAGAAACTTTATGACCTAACATTTATTCATTTAAATAAGGAATGCTAGTATTTTTTAATCCGTAGCCCCATATAATTCGGGAGGTGGTTGAACCGGTGAGAATCGGTTTCCGCAATTATCGGTTATCGGAACCGGTTAGTATCGGTTAAACCTTTATTCTGACTCCAAGAACTTAGATGATATCTCTAGGCTGTAGGCAGTTTTTCTCATTTTCCATTCATAAAACTCCGCATTATTAACATTTTATGAACAATTTTTACAAATGTGAAAAAGCAGGTGTTCCACTGGTCATAGAGCGGGGATAAGACAGTCTGAAGATGTCAGGCACAAAGCTCTTGTCCAATATCGAGTTGCTTGTATACCGAATCGGCTAAGCTCCGGACCTTTCAATATATAATAGCTTCCTAAATATTGTCGAATACTCGTACAAAACTTTAATAAGCCAACTCACTATATCCTTATTAGGATCTAGTATATACACTACGCCAGGGGTTCTCAAACTTTTGGTGTCGCGGAGCCCTTGAAAAGGTTGACTATTATTCACGGAGCCCCAAAATAAATGTTAAAATTGTTACTTTCAGATTTATATTCCTGAGCAAGTTAAAAGTACTTTACTCGTTTTGAATGCTGAACCTTTTTTAATAGGGTTAATACAAGTCATAAATAAATCTAAATTTCAAACATAAATTATATATACTAAAGCTGTAAATTTGACACTTGACAAAAATACTATCTTTTCCTTTTTGACATTTTTGGAAGACTTAAAAGGCCGCTAGTGCGCGATTGCATTTTGTTACAATCGCCGATATTTTCCCCTCAGCATGGCGTGTTTTTGAACCTTTGAACATCTTTACGCCGGTGTTTATTCTCCCTAAATCAAAAATTTCCCTCGTCATATACATGTATTGTTGCACAATGACGACGATAATTGCTTTTTTGTTCTCGTGGGTAATTTTGATTTCAATGTGAAAAACATGTTACTATATTATAGTCGTCGGCGGCGAAATGCTAAAAATAATAATTAATAAAGAGGTAAATCCGCAACTCAAATTTCTTGGTTGAAAAGCGGCATTCTAAAATATTAAAACTAAAACTTGAAATAGAAGATCACACGTTTGGTTTCAGTAGACTCACCTAGGATTGAAAACGCTTTTATAGACATTGTAAATCACAAATTTTGGTGTTATGTTACTGCGAAATCGAAACAGAGTCAATTGTGCGCACGATGTACGTTTTTTTCATTCTGAAACTACCGACGAAGCCGAATGCAATAAAATGTTCGTATTTTGCTCAGACATTGTGATATTTCATACGGCGATATCTTGCTTAAAAATAATCTCAAATGCGAAAGAACAAATCAAGTTTGACAAATCCCAAGATCGCAAAAATACGACTCCAATTTATTTATAGTTGGCAGTTTATCACATCGTTACTCACATAAACGTGAGTAACGATGAGCACAATTACATTATAACGACGAGACACGTTAAATGCTCGCATCGGTCATGAATTGAATATTTTACGCAACAGAAATCTCGTTATACGTTTTTTTAATCGCGAAGAATGTTGCGCGGAAATTTCCGATTTTAATTTTGAATTTGAACCACCTCCCTCTTAAGAATCCTGGCTGCGCTCCTGCTTATAAATATTGTCATTTTTTAATTCCGTCTCTTTGCCATATTTCGAGGCTATATTATTGTCAGATTTTATCAAAGCTGTTATTGCTTCTTTGAACAGTTAAAAATTAGTCATTATTTTGAAAAGTAATCGAATAGCTCGCGGAGCCCTTGGGTTTTTCTCGCGGAGCCCTGGGGCTCCGTATGGAGCACTTTGAGAACCTATGCACTACGCAATCAATAATAAAGTTTTTTTTATACCCGTATGTCTTATTTTTTCGTTTTCTCTTATTCATATCGTCAAGGGTTCCCAATGTTTTTCTGTTACCCCAGTTCTTCTTCTAACATCACTTCGCGCACAACAAAAATGAACGAAACAATCCTGCTTGAAACCCCGTTTAAGTTAAACCTTCTGATTCGCACGAAAAAATGCTGCAAAAAAATAGAGCAAGTTCACGAATATTTTATTGTAATTCCGTAATTTAGCAAATCCGATATTTCCGAGTAAAACAGAAGATTTCAATAAAAAGATCAGCTACTATTTAAAACAACGAGTTCCTCAAGGGTCAGTGTCAAGATAGCAATATCGTAAACTAACTAACTAACGATGCCTGCGTGCCGACACGCTAGTCTCTGGGCTTTTAAATATACATGAGCCACATTTTAACGATTGCCTGCAAAAATTCCTTGTTCCCAATAATAAAACCATTCCATAGACAACTATCAATCTTTAACTACCGCTCGAGAATCGTGAACAGGGGTGGGCAAATTACTTTTCTGAGTGGGCCAGTTACTGATAATCGACTTGGTTACTAAGCCGAAGGCTCCAAACCTAATATGAAACTACGAAAAAAATAGTTCATTTACAACAGCTAGCCCAGAAGATATAAATACATAATAATAAGAAGCACAATGTAACAAATAAGGCCAATGGGACGGTAAATTCATCGATATTTTCAATGGAAATTTGTATTCACTAAAACTATAGTCGTAATTTTAGCATACACAAGTGAGCTGGATGAAACACTCCTGTAGGCCGTGCACATGAGTGAACAAAAACAACCATGGGTACGAAAACTCGTTGCATTAAAATTGTTGATCGCACGCGAGAATGCTGCCAAAAATTACAGCAAGTTCAAGAATATTTTCTAGTATGACATCAGATTTTTCATGTACCATTAATGCGAAGATTGTGATAGATAGATATATCTGTAAACGACCTGCGGGATGCGGTTTCTTTTGTTTCATTTTATATTTGAGACGTTTCAGCCCAAGGACCCAGATGTTTTGGCAATGTGTAACGCTATAGAAAACTAGAGTTAATCGCGTGATTGAATATTTCGTTAATGAAAGTGCATATTTAGCTATTCTGTTACTATTATTTCGTTATCAATGTGTTTCATCATTTAAATTACCGAAAGTGAATTTTAAGAGTTCCAACGCAAACAAAACAACATTATCCTTGATTAACATATATGTGCAACCTGCGATGCCAATACAACTGAGTTTTACGTTTTTTCAACGCCAGATTTTCTCAAAAAATTTACATAAAACTATTGGAAACTGCACGGAGATTGGCGACCAGAATCAAATTCGATTTCTAATCTATGTTACTTTTACCGAGCCCCTATTCTATTAGGTTTTTACAAATTAGCGCATCCGTTATGTACGATCACCTCTATTTTAAGCGCAAAAGTCTGTTTCGTAATAAAATCTTAACTACGGTAATTCGATTTTGCAACACTTCATAATGTACACGAGGGACGTGAACTCTTGTTATTTCATTTTGTACGAATGTGACTGAAATCTATTTTCGTATTTGTTTGTGACTCAACATTGTTCTGAGATGCCCTTTCATCTGAACATTATTATACTGTGTTTTTAAACCATTGTACCAACTAGGCACAACGTAGGGCGTAACAAATTGGGCCGACCAAGTCAACGTCAAGAAGGCATTATACATAAAACTAGTGAAAACTGCACGGAGATTGACAACCAGACTCAGATTCGACTCTATATCATTTGTACACGAGGGGCGTGAACTCTCGTCATTTCATTTTACACGGAACTGAACTTAAATCTATTTTCGTGTTAGTCTGTGACTCAAAGTTGTCCTAAGATGCCCTTCAATTAAACATTATTACATTGTATTATAAGCCATTGTATACCATCGAAATATTTCATTCTGAGAGTGTAACGGTATGCTGTAACACCGTTGTGTAATTTATTAAAAAATGTTTTCTGTTCTAATCATTCTGATTGTAACCCTGAGGAGTGTGGTAACAGGTAATATTGAAGTTTTGTACTCATTTGAATAACATCATTCAAGAGATTTGGGAAGTCAGAATCTGAAAATACAAACCGAACTCTTTTAGAATTCCACGCGAGGATAGTAAGGTGCTAGAGGATTGCTAGAATCCTTGCCGTCATAGGATGATTCACGTAACCGGACGAGAGGCCGTGGTTCGCCATATGATTAAGCCGTCCTATCGGCTCCCCTGAGATAAATATGTAAATCCTATCATTGAGAAATATTTAACGAACTAACGAACTTATCAATTGAATAGCGGTCGTGAATACAAATAGCATATGTGTTATTTGTAAGAATAATATGTGCTACCAGTGGGTTAAGATTTTCAAGCTGGTTCCTTAACAAATTGTGAAAAGAAAATTAAATCCATTGTTTATCAGTAATTGATCACAGATGTTGGAATCAATAAGCTATTTCAATTTTCAAGACAAGCAAGTAATCACTTCCTAATTAAATATTTTCTTGTCTTCCGACCAATTTCCGATATATCGCATTTCCATACATAATGCATATATAGAAATATACTTAATACATTTATTGCGAAGGATGGGTTATATTTGTTTATTTGATGATGGTGTTTGTTATCGTTCTTATCATACGGGTTCAGAATACCGGGATGTTCTGATGTTTCGGCTATTCCTACCACGGTTTTATTGAAGCATGGGTTAGTTAGGTGATCTCCATGAATAGGTTGCTGTATTGATTAGAGTTCAAATCATGAATATATAAATTGCGATATCATCCCTGTCGGACCATCTAATTAAAATTTTTGTTAAACTAACCAATAAATTATAAAATAAATATTTTGTTTCAGTTGATATTTCTGTGAACGTTCAATTCGGAGGAGCGTCAGACAGTTCATCATGTGGTAACAAAGACAGTTTCACGGTGAGTCAGGTTGCTATCGCGTGATTTTTCTATTTTTAGCTTTTCATACAATAATGTATATTTTTTTTTATGTAACAGGCAACAAACCAGGAAGGTGAGGGTGGGTTTATTACGAACATACTGCACTG